GAGAGAGTCAGCATTGATAAGGCCCTAAGAACAAGGCTGAGTTCTGGGTACTGGACTTTGCTGCTGAAGGTGTTGGGAAGGTTGGCAGTTTATGCATTTTGTAGCAGCACGTCAGAAGAGTTAAGTCAGTTTATTGTAAATTTACAGAAATTATTAGGTAAAGATAGACAGTTTACACACCAGATGGCATTGAGCTGAAAGTCTGAAAAAAACTCAGATGTGAAATGGCAGAACTGGTGGCCAAAGTGTTTCAGCCTGCCACCATAAATGTTCACTGTGCCAGAGAAATAGCAGGTTGAAATCACATTGGCAGTAAACAAGTGGAGCTCTAAATGGGACCCCAGAAATTACAAACTGTTGATTTTTACTTTCATCTTACCAGGGATGATAGAGTGTTCAACAAAGAATAGGATGCTAAATGCATGAGTAAAGAGTCTCTTTGGAGAGTCACTGTGGTTTTTTTAATGGGAAATCCTGTTTCACTGAACTGCTGGAGTCTATGAGGATGTCAGTCAGCACATAACGCATCACAGAATCACAGAACGTCAGGGGTTGGAAGGGACCTCAAAAGATCATCTAGTCCAACCCCCCTGCCAGAGCAGGATCACCTACAGTAGGTCACACAGGAATGCATCGAGGCATCCCAGGAACTTAATGGATTTGAATTTTTTGACAAGGTTTTGTAGCAATTGGTTTTTTAGATGCATTGGAGGAAATGTTCGTTAGTAGTCTTGCAGCAGGCTAGAGTTGAAAGCAAATAGGGTAGAATGATCACCTTTTTTTGAATGGCACGTTGAAAATGTAGTCATGTCCCTGAGGAATTCGTGCTGGAAGCAGTTATGGTCAACATGTTAATTCATGACCCAAAGAAGGTGGTGAACAGAAGTTTGTGGGCAATGCTAAGTTCTTCTGGGTAGTCAAATGCTATGCCAAGGAAAGGAACTCCCAAAGGACTCAGAAAACAGAGTGAGTAGTCAAATTAGTAGTGAAAGAGCTTTAAATGCAAAGTAAAGCATCTGGGTAGAAGTACTCTTCTTTACACAGTATTGAGCTGAATTGGCATTTGCGATACCCTGCAATCATTTCCAAAAAAGCCAACAATATGTCATCATCGCCATATCACCAGGAGAGGTATTGAGAACAAGACTGGGGTGGTGTTTTGTCACTATACAAAACATTAATGTACTCATATCTTGAATATTGGTTAGACCTTTAGTGTCTGCATCTCAAGAGAAACTAGTGAAGTGAATTAGACATGATACAGAGAAGTGGAATCAATGCTAGGAGGGATAGAGCAGCTGCCTTAAAAGGAAAATGTAAAAATCTGGGATGCTTCAATTCAAAGAGGAGAAGGCTGAGGTGTAGATGCAAGCTTTACAAAATCAGAGAAGCAACGGATAAACTGAATGTGGAGTTGTTCACCAAATTGTGCAATACAAGAAGCAGGTGACATGCAAAACTAGTAAGCAAAGAGTTTAGTGGATAAATGGAAGTACTTCTTTACACATCAGATTTGAACCTCTGGAGCTTGTTGTTACATGAGGTTGTGAATTGGGCAGTATCAGCAGGTTCGGAAAGGAGTTAGGCACATTCATGAGAAACGTGAATACTAACAGGACTGGGCGAGGAATAATATCTTCTGATATGCTATAGGGCAATAATTATAAATGCTGGAGAAGTATGAGGGAGAGATACTGTAGGAGGTGATAGGCTCACGTGCTCGCCCTAAATGCCATCTCTTGTGGTCCAGTAGGATACTGTTTCTTATGTTTTGGTTGTTTAATGAAGACATTTTCTCAGAATTTTAAATGGCCTCAGGGCAGGAGATTGACTGAGTTTGTCCATGAGAATAAGTCTTACAGTTGTGATCCATTGGTATTGCTCAGTGCCAGAAAAGGAAAAGTAGACTGGGCCTATATTTTACTGGTATCGTGTACTTCTTTACTTCTTCCAGTTTCTTTGTATCCAGAGTAATCCAATCAAAGTGATGGAGTACTGTAGCTTAATGAGTAACCACATTTGAGCTGATGCACGGTGACCGACCAAATGCATCAATTACCTGCCTGTCTTGCCAAGTAAAACACAGTAGCTTGAACCATGATTTAGTCTGACAAATGATTTGTGATTTAAGCCTAGTACCTCCCGACTCATAGACCAACACACAGTTACTGCAGTTTGGGTGATGAATGTTAACTCATTAGGATCCACTACTGAAATTTTTTCCAACTGAAATATCTGCTCTTCTGTGCACTTTCTATATATTCTCCCCCTTTTGTCACGCGCTTTCTTCACAGTATTCAGCACTCCAGCCTTCTTAGGAAATGACTGTGTGTGTTTGAAGATCAGAAGTGAGTGCAACTTGCTAGGACCCAGAACTTCGTATTCAACTCAACAAATGCTGTTTAGATCACTTGGTGTTTTGGTAACTGATGTAATGTTAAAGCCACTGATGCGATGAAACACACGTGTGGTCTTGGCTGTGGAAGCAACATCTTACAGAGCTGGCTTAATGACTGCATAGCTTTTAAAGGGAGTCCTTGTCGACATAAGTGCAACAGAGCACCATCTCCCCTCTGTCCGTGACTAGAAGCAAGGAATGAGAAACAACTTTGCACCAGATGGTGATTCCTTCTAAATGAAATGAGGGTCTTGAGCTTAGTATTTTCTACAAAGCTCAGTTTACTCTTTGTATCTTGCAGAAGGTGCGTTTGGTGCATCTTGCTGTGGTTTCTCTTGTGCACAGAAGACTGCAGGTCAAATAAGCAGAAGGAAATTAAAAGGAAAGAAAGAAAGAAGAAAAGAGAACTGAGGGAA